CATGGGCGAGGGCTCCCCTGGCTCTCCGGCGGCGGCAGGAGGGGCAGCGCAGGAGGAGGGCTGTCCCTCGGAAGGGAAACGCCAGCGTGAGGACGGCCCGAGGCCCTTGCTGCCGCCCTGCCTTCTCAATCCGAGGAAGAGGCTGCGGACGGCAGCCCCCAGTGCTTTGGACTCTGCCATCACTGGCGACGAGCCCATCTCCGACAGCGAAATCGAGCAGTACCTGCGGGGCCCGGAGGAGATCCGGGCCTTCAGGAAGGCCAAGGCCTGGCTGTGAAGATGGTCGTCTCCAGCGTGGTCCAGAGGACGGTGCTGCCAGAGATGCCGGGGCAGTAGGGACTGTGGGGCCAAAAGTGTGAAACCCGAGGGTGACAGAGCCATCGCACGCTGCAGGGACAGTCGCCCGAGGGAGTGGGCTATGTCCTCTTCGTGTTCTGGACCAAAATGGGGCTTTTTATAGAGTGACTGCTTTGGGTTCTGTTACGTTTCTGTTAGAAATAAGTAAAAGCGCAGGTGCCAGGGCTGGTTTCTGGATTCTCTCTCTTTGCAGCCTGTGGTAAAAGGTGTTTTGTGAGTCCCAGTCCGGCGGGGCGGCGTCACAAGCGAGTCTGATGAGCCCGTGGACTTACAACGGGGTGATGCTCACGGGGAAGGTCTCCAGCACCTTCACTGGTGCTGGTTTTCCGTAGCGCCGCTCCGGCTTTTCTGTGGAAGGTTTCACCTTCTCGTGCTTCACCTCCTTGACAGAATGGGTTTGTGAGGGTCAAGGAGACACCTTAACTGGCTGAGAGAAAACTACCCCAGCCTTGGTTAAATAAGGGACATGAAGCTGCTGGAAATCTGTGGCAAAGGCGCAGCGTTGGATTGTGTGTGCATAGTGCTGCTGGCTGCTCACTCAATAAAACAGGGCCCTCTCCGAGCCTGGCGGCCCGTTGTATTTGAACGTGAAGTCTGTGAGAAACAACAGTAGATGTTGACAGATTGGCAAATCTTTAATATATTAAACAAAACATATCTGCTAGAAACATTCTATTCATATAAAAATGCAAAAAGACCCCTTTAAAGACATTTCTTTGGCATACTTTCCCCTCCCGCCCCCACGTATATTGCAAGAAGCTCTCTGTTGATATGTCATTTGCTTGTAATGTAAACAGACAAAAAAAAAAAGTGTAATTAATAATACAAAGCTTTTTATATAATACTGTCACAGTGCAGCAAGCATATATAACAACTCAGCATCAGCAAGACCGTGCAGGCTGCGGTATCAACAAGAAGGATTTAAATTGTATTAAATACTAATGATGAAATGTGGTTTAAGCTGTCGGTTGGGCGGAGAAGTCGAGGCGGGGTGGGGGGGAGCGGCAGAACCGCGTTAAGCCCGGGGTGCCCCCGCCCTGGGGGTGAGGGTTCCCCGAGGGTTTCTGAAGGCGAGACAAATCCTCCACGAAGTGCTTTTTCCTCCACTGCCTCGTGGCTCCCCCTCCCCGCCGGCCCCTGCCTGGTCCTCGCCACCCCCTGGGAGGTAGCTAAATAACGAAAACCATC